TATACATACTGTATACATATTCATATATGTTTCTTCTCAAAGACCAGCATCTCTGTCCTCTCTCCCTGTAGATGTAGCCTTCCCTTCATCCAGAGTAAGTACTCTACCTTGTGCTGACATTTTTACTTCCACAGATTTTCAAAAACCTAGCAACCAGATGCAACCAAAACATCTCAGCTGAAAAATCGCTGTGCCTCCAAAGCGCTCCCAGCTGGGAGTTTCCTTGTGGGGCCAAAGTTAGCTTGATAAAAAGGACCTCTGATGTCCCTAGTTTGACACGTCTCCTCATAATGATGTCTTTCAAACAACTACCTTGAAAAATTAAGAACAACAACAACATTTGTGGCCATGACTTAGCAAAAGTTACATCATCTCACTTCAAAAGAACAATACCAGTGTGTACTTACACTGTACGCAAATTGTAGCTCCTAATTACAAATGACGTGTACTTCATGTATGACTTCTTGTGAAACACTCTTCACATGTGTGATCCAACCCAGTGGACATCAAGCCTGTATTAACTTTTGTCAATGGGACATTATTTTTGCATAGTCATGCAGCTTCAGTGCTGACTGATTTAAAAACTCTGCCCTGCTATCTATGGCTGCCTGGCTTGCTCAATAAAAAAACATTAATGCTTGCAAAACACAGAACATGTTTTGCCTCATGGTTAGCTGTCATGTTAACTTTAAGGGATTAGAAGTGAATTGGTGAATTGGTCCTTTAAGGGTTAAACTTAATGCCCTTCAACGCAGACACAGAATACAGCAATATATGAGTCATGGCCATCAGCTGTAAATGTTTGGTTTGTGTGACAGCATTAATGACTGCAGTACCCATGAGCCTCAGCAGCTGTTGCTACAGAGAAGTAGCCATGAATCAGAGTTGGAGCACATTCCCAACATCTGGTCACTGCAGTCAAGAACAAAACCATGCTGTAGTTGCTGAATTGATTCAAACAGCTGAATGAATCCATTGTGAGAGAGACACCTCTGTGGTGAACTCCACTAAAGCTCCTGGAGGGAAAAGTTCATTGGCACTCTGTCAGCTGAGTCTCTGTGTAGCGGACAGCAGCAGAGGCTGACAGGCAGGAGGGTGTCTTTGGAAAATGTTTGGGAGCAGGATGAGGAGGATGATGAAAATGATGTCAGTCCTCAATGCAGGGCTGGGAGGTCACAGGCACCCGACGGAAAAAGAAGCTGGATCCTCTGAAGAGGTAACCCTGAAGGATGGGACACATATTAACTGTAAATCCTTTGGAATACTAATTAATTAAACTTCAATCCAACACATGAGAATCAGCCTTTAAAAACTGGTCAAACTGAGGGACTCTCTGAAAGCAACTGGGGGATGGGGGTGTTCTGAACCTTGTTTCACTTGTTCAAACAAAGCAAGACACTCCTCTTGACTTAGAAAAAACATCGCCCCTCCAATACTCATAACAATATAACAGAGAGTAAAGATTTAAAGATGGACCCCCATGAGTACCCCAACTGAAAATAAATAGTTAAATTTCAATACTTAATTTAAATAACAGCTATTGTCTTTAGATTGGTCATATTTTATATTATTTTGGCTTTGTGTAAATTTTGGATTTGCACCTTATTGATATTTAGGGCCTGGGTAAAAAAACAAACACACTTTATTTTTAAGTGCAGTGAATTTCCAACACAGAGCTTTTATTTTCAAGTGCTGTCTCCTGCTGTAGAGTGAGTAGCTAACACAGACAGAGACAGCAGACTAGCTCAAAGACATGGCTAAACGCCAAAATGATGCTGAGTGTATTAAACTGTGTGAACCTTGAACTAATGACGAAGGAGCAGTCCGGACCCCGTGGCTGGACCAGTTGGGAACCACTGGCCTAGATATGTGAAATTTGGTAGGCACATATAACATCCCAAAACTTAAAAATAAGCGTCTTGGAGGTATATCCCAAACCCAACAGGAAGTCAGCCATTTTGAATTTAATGTGCAATTTTAGTGTATTTTTTTGCAATTTACAGGTGCTGCACTCAAACAAACTTCTGGAGATTTAATCAAATCGACTTTGAATTAAATTTTGTGTGTTCCGTGACTGTGTGTGCTATTGGCTTAGCTGCCAGAGAGTCTTTCACCGTGCAGCAGGTCATTCTTCTGCTCGGGGGTCGTGCATGTGACTGTACTACTGGGTTAGCTGCTAAGGAGAGTTTGTAGCTGTGTGGTGGCTCTTTGGCTTAGTGTGTTTTTATTCACCACTCTCTCTCTCTAATGTCCTCATAATTCACAGTGAAACTGAAGTGGCTCCAAACACTAGACAACTGTGAGACCTTAATGACGAAAAGTTGCTAAAATCTTGATTTTTTTGTGGAACAACTTTGCCATGGCGTGGTGGCCATAAAGCAGGAAGCTGTTGTGACTTGAATTGTCCAATCTACTCCATATTTGACATGCTTGATAAGAGTCCTGGCCTTTAGACATCAACACACCAATACTGAGGCAAAGTAACTGCATCACCTAATGGCAACTGGAAGTAGGTCTTGTGTGACAAACAACCTTTCGATTGACATGAATTTTACATTGTGTGGTCCCACACTTAACATGCAGCAACATAATGCATGTTTAGTGCATATTCTAACACCACATTACATAAACAGAAGTAATAAAAATTTGCAATACGTCATTTCCATGTGGGTCAGATGCTCGCAGAATGCATGGCTGCATCGACAGGCTTCCCGCCAGTACCCATAACATACAGGAAGGTGCGAAGTCCCGCTCATCTCTGCATGCAGCTTTAATTTATATTCTATCTTAACACTCTTTTCTACTTTGTACTGCAATTGCTGCACAAAGATTTACCTCGAGATAAAGTTCTACTTTTTTTTTTTACAAAGGCCATGAAATGATCAAAACTAATTTGAATGTTGCAGGTGAAGACCACCTTCTCTTCTTTAGCACTACTTGTCTAGTTTGCACACTCAGTAAACAGACAGAGACCCACAGCCACACATATAAACACAGCAGCGTGCAGGCAGCTGACTGGTGCGTGGTCAGAACAGGCAAATCTACAAGCCAAAGATTCAGGCTGAAAAATACTTTCAGGGCTTAAAAAGCCACGTGTATGCACGTGTACAGTAGTGCACGTAATATTTGAGCTGTTCATGTAATTCTTGGCTCACATGCAATGGTCCACAGAACACAGTACAGAACATATATTAAGCAGTGCTGCCAACTCTCACACATTGATCGTGAGAAGACGACACTGACAGTGCACGGACAGACGTGACAGAGCAGCACAGAGCAACAGCAGCACTGAAAAACACTGCTGCTTGGATGCATGTCTCTTCATGCTGTTATGTACCGGTACATGGAGCAGCCAAAAAGTACAATACGTTTCAGCAGCACTGCTCGAAATGTCCCTATGACCATATCAAAGTTGACGTAGTTTCACTGCACATTACTGCACTGGGAAAGTCAGCTCAAATAATATTGGAACACATTAAATATGTCCCTAATTTAAGAATCTCTAAGTGAATAAATGTTTTTCTTCAGAGGTTTGTTGAAATTTTGGTGATGAGAAAGAGAACATAAACACCAAATGGTGCAGTAAAAAGATTGTTTGTTGCCTGTAAAATATTTTTATGGATGTCATTTTGAAAGCTACACACACCAGTGCCTGTACACAGAAAAAAATGGATTTCAAGCCCTGACTTTTGTGTCATGTGGTGTCACTGCATTTGCTTGACTTTACTTTGTGGCTCAGGTGATTCCAGCAGTGCAGCCATGACTTGAAGATGGGAGAGTGAGGAGGAAGACCTGCAGCCAAGCTGACAACACAAATCACAGCCAATCAGACACAAGCACAGGACGGAAGCCAGAATTTTACAAATACAGTGTGAGTAAAATGACATTTCTCAGTCATTTGGATTGATCACATTTTATTTATTTAAGCTCTTAGTGCAATAAAACTCTATTGTGAATAGTAAATAGTGATTCCTTATGCATCTTAGGTGCAAGCTAAAAGACTGAAAGAACTGACTCCATGTTACATCAGTCATGTATATGAACATCTATATGAAAATGTCCCTGAATATTAAAAGGTGAATGTAGTACTGTTTGAAGGAGTGACTCACCCACAGTTGTTGACTGCCATGAGATCAGCCACAAGCATGAATGGATATGTCAAAACACTCACTGCAATCTAGAGAAAAACACACTCCATCAATATGAAGAAATGCTGCATATGAGAAACATCTCAAATAACAGTTTGAATGTTGAACTTACACCCATCACAAACTTAGTGTAGCTTCTTACTGCTGAGGCCTGACTGAACTGCAACGCAAACACAAGCACAGAGGTGGAAGGTTTCTTCATTTGCAAGACATGCAACAGGAAATTCAATTCAATTTAAGATTCAAGACCATCAGATTTATTCAAACTAAGTTAGCTCAATCTCATCTTCCTACAACTAAAAAGACTTGGTAGCATTTTTCGTGCTTGTTTATCTGCTCTAACTTTTGAAATTGACTACTGCTCAAACAAATGCCAAAAGTAAAACAATGGCAAAGTTTCAAATAACAACTGGTGGCCTGTGCAAATAAATAAAAGCCCAGAGCTAACGGTGCAGCAGAGAGGCTGCTCTCCACTGCTTGAGAATCAACAACAAAGCCGTTTTAAAAAATGACTTAAGGCTCACCTAATGCAGCAGACTATATGACTGGGAATTTATTATTGATATTGAAATTGGTAGAATTATTATTATGATGGTAGTGACTGAAAATATATTACTAATGTATGGTATTATTAGTGCTATTATAGTGTATTAGTATAATTATAGTGTTATTAATATATTATATTATGCATATATAATTGGTGTGTGTGTGTGTGTGTGTGTGTGTGTGTGTGCGTGTGTGTGTATGTATGTGTATTATTGTTGTTGTTATTGTTGTAAGTGTCTTGGATGTTATCATTTATGTTATATTTTATGTATTTTATGGACCCCAGGAAGATTAGCGGTCGCCAAGGCGGCAGCTAATGAGGATCCATCCAATAAACAATAAACAGCGTCCCCCCATTTTGCTATTACTTACAGGAGTCTGTAAGGGCCTGTGTCCACACAGCATTTTTTCCTCAGCACTTGTGTCTTTTTTCACTTATTCTCTTTAAGGAGCAAGTGAGAGAGAAAAGCACCACAGCCTTTTTGCACAGCCACTCTGTGTGCTATGAGTTTAAAATCTCTAAACATTTCAGAAAGGTGCCGGTGACGTCACTACCGCTTCTTTAGCTAGGCTACTGTCTACTGCCACAACAAAGACAGAAAAGCTCATTTTTTGGGAGCAGATCGACCAGCGGACACTGGATGTCACTGGTAAGTGTTATGCTTTTATCACTGTTCGCTTTGTAAGCTTTAAGTTAACTGTGTCGATCGTCTATTAATGTAGTGTTGTGTTAGCTACCTGGTTAAAGCTATAGTGCATAACTTCTACAGGTCCGTAAATGTCTGTTTCACCCAAGCCACTACTAGAGGAGATGACACAATGCTGATTAAGCCGATCGGCTCCTCTAACATCTCGCTGTATTTTTCAATATATATAATTTTTAGTATGTGTGTCGACCGGCGACATTCCCGCGCTGGCGCACAGGAAATGCTTCCTCACAACAAGAAGGGAGGGGGAGGAAGAGCGGAGAGTGTCATAGCAAGAGGTAGAGCGCAGGTAGAAAGAGAAAGCAACATGGCGGAGAAGCGGCCGAGACACGGTTCAGAAGTGGATCCTACCACAAAGGCAAGTGTTACTCTGTGTATGGTGTGTGGCGAGTGTTACTCTGTGTACATGGAAGTGCCGCCGGCTTATTAGTTGTAATAACGCATTATTCGCTGGGAGGCGACAAAAGTTACGCACTATAGCTTTAATGTTAGTGTCAAGATATTGTTGTCATAGAAACAAAATCCATGTGCAGCACTTCATAAAAACAGCACCTGCAGCGCTTTTTTATGAAGTGCTGGAATGAACCGCTCCCCAGCACCCTGCCACCACTTTTCTGCTGAAACGAAAAAAAAAAAAAAAAAAGCTAAGTGGATACAGGCCCTACAGTGCTTTCTAATTATTGCAATTATTTTTTTTTAAAATAAAAAAAGTCGTGTACCATTTATTATTCAACAGTACCTGAATGGCATACTATTTCTGCTGAAACATTACAGTATGCAAACACTGGACACTACTCCACCATAAGTATTCTACAGTGGGGTAGCTGAGCAACCACAGATGCGTACAGTCCTACTGGTTTAAAAGCTCAGGTATAGAAGCACTTTGGCTTCTATGAAGTTGAATGGAAAAGAGACCTGGACATGAGCCATGCTGTACGCAAGTTAGTTCATCGGTTTATTCAATTATGGATCACTAGTCCATACCCATTGAGTGCACAGTTGCCCACGTACAGTTTGACATGGTGTGTGTTTGGGATACAGGTCATAGGAAATTGCAGATTAAATAGTCAACTGAACCCATTAAGAAGAGCAATGTATTCAGACAGAGTTTTTATGAATTTGATAGTACGACTGCTTTATTGAAAGTACAGTAGTACCATTGCCAATAGTGGGATAGTTAGTGGGCTAAAACTGTACATTAGTAGTTGAGGTAGCACGTTGAAAGGCAGATAGTTAAAGTCATTGCCTTATAGAAGCTCAGTTTTAGTAAGTTTTCCAACTTTTGCCAAGAGGGAACTTTAGATATTGGTCCCTAGATTATGTTCACCGAGTTTCATGCAGATCGGTCAAACTTCCTAGGAAGAGATTGATTTGAAGTGTTTTTCAAAAAAATTCAAAATGGCGGAAAATCTACATAACCGGAAGTTATGGGTTCTTAAGGCAAATTTGTTCCTCATGAGGAGAGGCATCTCTGTGCAAAGTTTCATGTCTCCACGACATATGGGACATGAGATATGCCCATTCAAAGTTTGCCATTTCAATCGGTTGCTATAGTGCCCCTTTTGGCCAATTGATGTACTATTGCTTCATTCGCATCCTCCCATGACCCTCTACCACTGTGCCAAATTTAACATGGATTGACCAAGTCAGTGAGGAGAAAAACGTGGAACAGACACACACAGACACACCCACGGACACACAGACAGAGTTTTCATCATTATATAGTAAGATTACAAATACAGTACACTATGTATTAAAGCCAGTAGTCACACAGTGAGAAAATAAATCATGTATAGAAATAAAAAAATTTGACGTATCAAGATGCATTGATAATCGTGTAATAACTCAATTCTGATCACATTGTGATGTGCCTGGAGATTCCAAAGCCTACTTTATTCAAGCCTTTGTTCAGTTTTCTACTGAATACTGTTCATGATGATATGAGCCAGTATCTGTCTTTTTGAGGTGAAGGCACAGTAGAGGCTGTTCTATTTTAGATGTGACTGCTTCAAAAGCAGCTACTCCACTCATAAATGCAAGACCTTTGGCACTTTATGTATGACATTATGTGTTTTAATGTGCTCAATATCCTTGTAAATACAATAGTATTATGAGTAAGTAAATTACTGTGTGACTATGAAATGGTATTGATTGCCATAGCTTGTTGTCTTTCTTATACTCTCTCCTGTAGCATTTAAAAAGGTGATGGACTCACATTTTCGTCCACAGCGTAGGTGTTAATAAAGTGGGCCAGGAGGTTACAACACCACAGAAAGAGGACCTCTCCCACCACATGAGGTACGAGACCACTGCAAACACACAAAACACTGCATAGACTGATGGAGGTCAGACATCAAGGTCATTATGTACTAAAAAATCTACCAATGAAGAGTAAAAATTATAAGTGTGACTCACACATAGAATCCAGCAAGTCCCTCCTCCTTAAAAATCTTGACAATGCAGCTGAAAATCCCCCTGCAAAAGTGACACAAACATGTAAAAAAATGTCTGCAGTGTGAAATCTGAAAAAGCTTACGCTTAGCCAACAAGCTGTGTTTTTAAACAGCTTTTTATTTTTAGTGATGCCATCCTACATGAATAAACTGCTAGTTGCCAAACTTTAAACTATTTTTGTGTCTCAGGTGACAGATGTATAGATTTGTTTTGCTCTGTGCTCCTTATGCCCTCTCATGATTGGCAATAATATGATGACAATACTGTGGAATCCTCTCATACTTCCGTGTGCAGCTCCCGCAAGTTAAGTATTTGTCCAGTTTTTAGAACCTTTTTGGCCTCTTTTTTATACACCTTGTACAAGAAACTTGCTCTATTAAAACGTGTCCTTTAACTGGATGAGGAATCTCAGTCATCGGGCTTGTACTTCTGAAGACCTTGGAGGAAAAGTTGAGCTGTGACTGTTCCTTGCAGCCACACACCAAACCACACCAGCGAAACACCGCTTTTAAACAAAAATCTAATTTTTCTGTGTTTTACACTGGTTTTTGTCAATGGGACTGCTGGCCTCAGATTAGGAGATACCTCTGTGGTTTTTCGGCTATTTCTAAAGCCTCTCCTGACTCATCTCGGTCATGTTAATGTAAGCAGCTAGGTAAGATGACGTGTGCCGTCTGAGTGCCGTAAATCGCTTCGTCCTGGGACGGACCAGGACACAGTTTCCTAAAGGTATGGATATACACTATATAGAAATAGCTTATCTTCACACCAATGGTCTCTGGTCTTGCTGTTGTAGGTCACGCACAGACATCAGCAGAAACGAGAGACTTTTGCATATCCAGTTAAAAGTTCCTTGTAGCGGCTTTAAGGTGAGAAGCCATATTTGTAAGAATTGAGTGTAAAGCTATTTTTCCTTTTGTTTATTACAGAACCACACACATACACACTTGTTGTGAACCTCCTGCATTGAAAATTAAAGTATCCTCTCAAACCTGATTCTCTGGCTGGAATCATTTGCTCCATAGTTGTCCTATCCAAACCAGTGTGTCCCTGAAGTCCCCTTCCTCACATCGCCCAAGCTGTGAGTTGCACATGTGCGTGTGTGTGCGCTGCTGAGGTTACACGATGTCAATCATGCGGCGCGCCTGGAATTTTACCGGCGTTTTAAATCAGCATATTTTAGACTGACCGGCCAGTCGCAGGTCATGGCCGATCACGTGAACACCGGCCTGATTCCGAGCACTGCCAATTAATCGGTGCAAGTCTAGTATTTACGTAGTCTTTGACGTCGACGACGTCAACCCATCACCCCAGCCCTATCTAGAATGTATAAAAGTTTCACTTTTTGAATTAAATTACTGGCAAAAAAAAGACAACTTCTCAATGATATTCGGACTTTTTGAGATGCATCTGTACAAAGGTTGAATGTTTTTAGACGATTTAAATACCAATCTGAGCCTGTCAGTGGCAAAAACAAGCACTTTTAGGGGCCCTGCACATGCCGCGTTTTTTTTCCAATGTAGATGCGCAGCAGGCACACTAAAACACCAGAGAGACGGCATTGCGATGCACACATGTTCCACAGTGCCTATTTTTCTGGGCGCTACAGCTGCACCCTGAGATAAACAGAGTTCAGCTTCTGTGACAAGGACCAACCCATCACAGCCAACAGACATCTGTACCTTCTTCTGTGAATATCAGTCTGTGGTAAAAATAAAGAAGTTGTTGATCATTTTAGTGCAGGGCTGCCAGAACTTTACATCTGTCCCACTGACAATAGGCCTACACATAAACAGCGCCTGGAAGAAAATCAGTTCTGCACTCAGGATTTCAGGTACATAGGTTATGATATGGTGCTTGTTAAGGTTGCTTAGCAACCTCAGCCACAACCTGCCACTGTGCTCTTGAAAGCTAACACAAGACACAAGACAAAGGTGGTACCCAGCACCCAACCTCTCATTTTCCCGGTGGTTAAAGACCCGGCATGTGTATGGCCCCTTGATGGACGTAAATTGATTTGTTCAATTGCATGTGTGGATATATTGCAGTCTGTTTTGCCACAGCAGCACTCTCTCACAATTCTGGACCAATTTCAAAAATTGCCATTTCCATTAATCACAAAAACAGAGGAAAAAAGGGTCCAGGTTGAAAAATACCATAATTATCTTTAAATGTTACAGACACTGTTAAGATTTGAACTTTTCAAAGGAAAGGAAGGAAACCTTGTGGCATATCTGCAGCATTATGCAAAGTCTTACCCATACTTGAGCTCCCTGCCAACAAACTGGGCCATACACCGCACTGACATCACTGCCAAAGGAAAACAAATCAGGTAGTTAGCTAAACAACCAGTGTACTACTTGGTTCTCTGACATCAAATTCTATTTAGCCAGAATGACACTTGTAAAATCAGCTTAAAGCGGACTGACAACATGGCACATAAAACAAGCAACCCAAAATGAATGGAAGGTCTCCTTGTTTAAAGGGACATTGTGTAACATTTTCAGTTGTTTACTGGCAAAAATCAATGTCTGCATTCATAAATATGTCATCATTGGTGTATTATTACCTCCACCAATAATCTGACTTATTCTCGTAAAAGGAGAATTTCAGATTTGTTAGTACATTGTGCGGGGAAGTCGTCTGAGGGGTTCCATAACATTTCGCCATCTTGAGAATACATCCGCCAGCAAGGGACATACAGCCTCGCCTTTGGCTTTTTTGTTGAGAGCCAGGCCAGCGCTGCTTGACTTAGAAGCCGAAGTAGAGGAGCAATAGGCGCTTCGCTACTACCCCGGCACTACTGCAGCATAACAAAGTCCCACTCTTTGAGCATAATGCAGGATCATGCATATGAAGCATCACGGGAGACGGAATCCTCGTGGCCAAGAAAGCGCAAAAAGGAATCAAAAAGGCAACATGACCAGCAAATTCAAAAAACGAGGGTCAACATCAGGATAGCCTTTCCCAGGTGGAAAGAGCTGCTGAAGGAGAAAGGTAATGCAATCACTGGCCAGCGCTGCTAGCCGCTAACAGCTGTTAGCCACTGTCAGCGGCACAGTGATGCGAGGAGAGGGATGAGGTGTGTGAGGTTGAGCCACTTATCAGTTGTCAAATGACAAGACGTGACTGGTTTGTTTCGATTTACACCCCTATCAGTATCAGTGTTCAGTGGTAGCCTGGCGTTGCCAGACCCAATTTGCAAAATGCGAATGGGTCTGGACACGGACTGTACATTTCCTCTATTCCCGAGGGGCGGTTTCAACAGCTGTCACTCAAAGTGCCCCTTCATGCAATTGGAAAGACGAAAAACCAATGAGAGTAAATGAAACATATGACGTAGGCTAGCACAACGCCACTGTAAACAGACCAGCATGCAAGTGCAGCGCGCAGCGGAGATGAGTTGTGATGATGTCTGTTGCCATCTTTGCGGATTTCCTCCTGTGGACTCCCAGTTGCATGGCTGTGATTCCCAGCTTGGTCGCTTCCCTGACCTGCTCCTCCATGAGAGCAACTAGCGGAGAAACAACAATAGCCACTGGGTTTTCACTGAGTCCCATCTTTTTCTTTTTCCCCATCAACGGAGGCAGTTGGTAAATTAAACTTTTACCAAACCCCGTAGGAAGGATGGCAAACACATCCTTTTTTCAATAAAAGCTTTCAGTGCAGCGGTTTGTTCTGCTTTTTTTTTTAAGATTATTTTTTCGGGCTTTTTGCCTTTAATTGACAGAAAAGACTGAAATGGGGGAGTGAGAGAGAGTGGGGGGGATGACATGCAGCAAATGGTCACAAGCCGCAGTCGAACCCGCGACTGCTGCAGCAGGACATCACCTCTGTATATGGGGCACCAGCACTATCCACTAGGCTACCGACGTTTATGAAATGCATTCACTCCGCTCCTTGTCCCTTCTATTCTAGAATATGAGCTTGCGAGATTAGGATGGTTTCATCATAGCTTTTTGGTACACAGCGGCTACCGTTGTTGCAATACGCCTTTGAAACAGTGAGGTGCTAGAGTGCGCTCTCCATTTGAATGCAACATATGATTTCAACGTTAGATGGGAGAAATTCCTACACACTGTGGCTTTAAGAATGATAAAAAAATGTCAAACCTTCACTTATTTCAGTTTCTCCAATGTGAGGATTTTCTGCTTTTGCCTTTGTTGTCATTGTTAAATTTAATATCTTTAGGTTTTAGCTGGATGGACAAAACAAGACATTTGAAGACATCACCTTGGACATTTTATTGATTAAAAAAATAACTTCACAACAAATCAGTAATGAAAATATTTTTTGTAACACTTGTTTTGGCTGTGGCACTACTTTTGTAGATCAGGAGGAAGCTTCCAGAATATATCCATGTAATCAGTTACTTTTTCTTATGGTTGAATAAACTTTGCCAGTCTTGAGGAGGACCTACCATGAAAAGGATGAGTGGCTACTCTGGACAGGCACTGGATGATCATCTCATGTGAGGTCTGGAGAGAGAAAACAATTTGAAGGGACAACCTGGTATGAAGTTGTACAGATTTATTGTAAAATAAAGCCATAAAAATGAATATACAGTATCAGCTAAATGATGTCCAGTGAACACTGAGACTCCAGTCTTCAAACGGTAGATAAAAGAGGCCATTGAGATCAGGAAGCGGGCAAGCGGCACCATCAACCGGGACGAGGGGGCGTACACCCTCTCGCATACCTGGGATTCCCTACTCCACAAAACGAACAACGACGCAGGAGGCGGGGTTGGCCTGACAGACTCTGATTGGTCTGTCAGGCCTACCAGCTGATATATGACACATCAGCAGCACGTCGGATGATGCTTCTGAGGAAGACTGGAGTCTCAGTCGAAACTGTCAAGCAGGTAAAACACATCTCCTTACATCCTGTTCTGTCTGAATATAAGAAAACCTTAAAATATTAAAACATTATCTTTCTCCTAGTTTTCATCACACTGGTGTCTAATGTTATTCTGAGCTGCAGTGATGGAATCAAAGTGTAAAAACAGAAACACTATCACTGCAGAATAAAATAAACTTTGCATCAGTTTAAAAAGTTACTTAAATTAAAACAATATTGCTAGAAAATTTTAAACAGAAATGGTCAGAAGAAATTTTGTGTAAACCAAAACTGAGACCGTAGTCTTATTAGGCATGTTCCACTCGGAGCACTATGTTAAATTATCTGCAGAATGTCCTAATTTGTTTTCCATGTCTGATGAATGTAGACCTGAGTTATTGTTTACAGACAAAGTATATCAGTTAGCTCAGTTTGTGTCAGATGCTTTGCAGCTGTGTATGTGGGCACTTCATGTTTGACATTTCAAAGATATGGTTTGTACCATGTTATTGCTCGTTTTATAATGTTTTGTAGTATCATGTAAGCCCATGTGGGCTGGGCATCTTTTGGTGTATGACACTTGAATAAACAATCTTAATCTGAATCTGACACCAGCGGAAATAGAGCCTTGGAACAATGCAATGCTTCTACTGACCTATAACAATATATAGACTACACTTTTGGACTTTTGGACTTTTGCCCATGGATACTTTTTTCGTCAGTGATCTGATTGGTCAGACTCTGTACATAACATGCGTCTGAGCAGGTTAGCTGTTCAGCATAAGTTACCACAGTGATTTTCCCAGTAAAAAGAGAACCAGCTTCGTAGTACTGAAGTTACCTCACTAACTCCAAGTCATGCTTTGTTGTACAGGCCTCTGATAATATACTTGTTTATACCTTACACTTACACTACAGGATTATAATCATACTTTGTTAACAAGTTCTTTTTTTTCATTTAACAACATGGGGCAAAGTAAATAGGGCACTTGGCAGTTTTCCATACTCTGTGCCCTTGTCTTGAACCTTTACATTTCATAATGAAACATACAACAGAGAGTAGACAAAGTGTGTTATAAGAGACTTTAACAATATCACTTCAGTTAGACTGAATGAAAGAAGTCAGGGTTGTTGCCAAAGAATCCCCTGTTTTCTTGTCATCCAGGAGGAGCTGATGTCTCACCTCTCTGACGACTTTCCTGAGTGAAGTCTGCAGGTCATCTCTCTTGGAGAAAACCTCCACCTGCTGAATAAAGAACTGAAAATACTTCGACAGTCCTTCACAACACCTATACCTTTAAATGCTTAAAACAACCCTTTAATCACACCCCCCCATTGACCATATATGCCAAATGTGATGCGTTTCATCAAGAGCCACTCATTTGAAGCCATTCATTCTTATGAGACACGTAAGAGTGATTTAAGACAATTTGTCACACTCAACAATTTTCTAGTATTTAGAATCTATTTTAGACAAGAAACAAAATTCACAAGCGATAAAAGCCAGAGTCATGCACAGATAGGGTGCATCCCAAGTCTAACGTGATGACAGCGCATGTAGACGCAGGGACCCGGCGCTCTTCCTTAGTTAGCAGCTACTTACCGAGAGGGACTTACACCCGAACCGAACTTATCAGCCTGAAACAACACTGGACCGGCTGGACCCCGGAATATGAGGTGCCGTTTGTAAAGTGGCTCACGCTGAAAATAACATCAACATTTTGCCACATTTAGCTTCAAACAATGTTTAAAAAAGTGTTGTGAATTTTTTGACGTCACCTTTTACCACATTTACAGCAACATTTGTTAACTTAGAAATATATTAAATAGTTAAATCTAAATATTAAATGTGGCACCTAAATGTTAAATATTAAATCTAAATCTAAATGCTAAATCTAAATGCTAAATCTAAATGCTAAATCTAAATGTTAAATCTAAATATTAAATATAACTATAAATATAAATGTTAAATCTAAATATTAAATCTAAATCTAAATGTTAAATCTAAATGTTAAATGTTAAATCTAAATGTTCTGGGTGAAACTAAATATTTAGCTAATATGCAAATTCACACTGCTGATCACCGGAAGTACCAAATTAAAAGCTTTAGATGGTCAGACTGTGTTTATAGAATCAAATAACGAATTAAAACCAACTTATCGGGGGAAATGAACATTTGAACATACATTAGCGTGATAATAACTACCTAAAATAACAAGAAACATGTTTGGAGAAATTTTATTTGATGTGTATTTTGAGTTGTTAGTGTCCCTTCGGAGGGACTAACAACCTAAGCTAAGCTAACAATCGTTAGCTGTTAGCCCCGTTAGCGGTGTCTGTAATTACTCATTAACTCTTAAACGGTCCGTGAAAATAATATTTTTTTTCCAGCGGATGTCTTAGTTACAACATGATTGAGCTAGCAAAGCAGTTTTGTGTTGCGATGTGTGGTATTTATTCAGTTTTGGGAAATCACGATGTCTAGAAAGCATCAGTGGCCGCAGCAGCAGCAGCAAAGCTAACATCAGGACGTCATCTGTTAAAAGCCTCCCGTTGTTGGATACGAAATGAAACTACTCCAGTTAGCTCAATCATGTTGTAACTAAGACATCCAGACCATTTAGAGTTAATGAGTCATTACAGACACCGCTACGATAATCATGTTATTTATTTCAGAACGTGATAGTAATGTTTGTTCAATCATTGTGTTTATAGACTTTACAAACAGCAGATTAGTCTAAACGGTGATAAAGTGACGTGAAAAATGTGAGATATTCATATATATATGTAGCTAAACTCCGCTGGTTTTCTACCCGGAAGTATTTGTAAACAACAAGGTGATTCCCTCCGAAAGGACATTAACAACTCAAAGTACACATCAAATAAAATTTCTCAAAACATGTTTCTTGTTATTTTAGGTAGTTATTATCACGCTAATGTATGTTCAAGTGTTCATTTCCCCCGATAAGTTGGTTTTAATTCGTTATTTGATTCTATAAACACAGTCTGACCATCTCGAGCTTTTATTTTGGTACTTCCGGTGATCGGCAGTGTGAATTTGCATATTAGCTAAATATTTAGTTTCACCCAGAACATTTAGATTTAACATTTAACATTTAGATTTAACATTTAGATTTAGATTTAATATTTAGATTTAACATTTATATTTAATATTTAGATTTAATTTAGATTTAGATTTAGCATTTAGATTTAACATTTAGATTTAACATTTAGATTTAGCATTTAGATTTAGAATTAATATTTAGATTTAGATTTAGCATTTAGATTTAACATTTAGATTTAGATTTAGATTTAATATTTAGATTTAACATTTAACATTTAGGTGCCACATTTAATATTTAGATTTAACTATTTAATATATTTCTAAGTTAACAAATATTGCTGTAAATGTGGTAAAAGGTGTTGTTAAAAAATTCACAACACTTTTTTAAACATTGTTTGAAGCTAAATGTGGCAAAATGTTGATGTTATTTTCAGTGTGAGCCACTTTACAAATGGCACCCCATACCAGAAGGGTTCGACTCGTTGCCGGAGAGGATACGCCGGTGAGAACGGACCAAGAGGAGGCGACGACGGCGCTGTGAAAGATGCCAGAAGCAGGGCAAGCAGGCCGGCATCAGAGCTAGGCTAGCGTTTTTCTTGCCAATGTCCGCTCCCTGGTTAACAAGATGGACGAAATTAAATTACGGGACATTAACATTAACGGAACATATCCGCATGAACAGCTGTATCACGGTGATAACGGAGACCTGGCTGTACGAAAACATCCCGGACCTAGCTGTGGAACTAGCAGGTTGCACAATCTTCCGGGCAGACTGCACATCAGACTCCGGTAAGATGAGAGGAGGGGGTGTGTGCGTCTATATTAACAACAGTTGGTGCACGGACACTACCGTTGTTGAGAGACACTGCTGTTCAGATCTGGAGTTTTTACTGTTGAAGTACAGAGCTTTTTACCTTCCTAGAGAAATCACATAAGTGTTTGTAGCTGATGTGTATATCCACTCGCGAGCTAATGCTAACGTAGCTATGAGCAGGCTGCACGACAGCATCAGCAGGCAGCAGAACACACACCCAGAGGGCTTCTTTATCGTGAAAGGTGATTTTAGTCACACTAATTTAAAGACTGTGCTCCCCAGATTTTATAAGAACGTGGACATTAAAACAAGGTAGGGCAAAACACTTGATCAGGTCTATACCAGCATTCCTGGAGCCTACAAAGCCTGCCCTTCCCCTCACCTCGGACACTTAGACCATTTTTCCCTGTTCCTGACACCAGCTTATAGGCCCCTCATCTGCAGGTCTAAGCCACAGTACAAGCCAGTGCAGTGCTGGACTGAAGAGGCCACACTATCCTTGCAGGACTGTTTTGAGGACACCATGTGGGAGCTCTTTGAGGATCCAGACATTGAGCACTACACCTCCTCTGTGCTGTCGTACATTAGTTTCTGCTATGGACAATGTAACGACAAGGAAAACATTCCCCAACCAAAACCCCTGGTTTAACACCAACATCAGAGCACTACTCCAGGCCAGGGACACAGCACTGAGATCAGGAGACAGGGAGGCCTACAGGAAGGCTAGAGCGGACCTGAACAGAGGCATCAAGGCTGCTAAAACAAAGTACAGAAAGCAGATAGAGGCCAACTTCACGGAAAACAACCCCTGCTCCATGTGGAAAGGCATCCAGTACATTACGGACTACAAACAATGTCACAACACCCCCTCCCCCACCGGCACCTCTCTCCTGGACCAGCATAACACCTTTTTCTCCCGCTTTGAAGAGGACAGCAGACAGGCAGAGGACACACAGCAGACACCATCAGAGTATGACCAGCCCCTCACCATCCAATAACACCAGGTACTGTGTGTCCTGCGTGGCACTGACATCAGCAAAGCACCAGGACCAGATGGAGTACCGGGGAGGGTGCTGAAATCATGTGCTCATCAGCTTGCTGCAGTATTCACCAACATCTTCAATCACTCGCTGCAGCAAGCCACAGTCCCCATCTGCCTGAAAACTGTCACCATAATCCCCGTGCCCAAGTTCTCCGCCATCACAGGGTTGAATGATTACCGGCCTGTGGCCCTGATGCCAGTGATCATGAAATGTATGGAGAGACTGGTGTTACAGCATATCAAGGCCCATATCCCACCTGGCCTTGATCAACATCAGTTCGCCTACAGGTCCAACAGATCCACAGACGACGCCATCTCCATCGCCCTCCACACCGCTCTCAGCCACCTGGAAAACCCCAAAACATACATCAGGATGCTGTTTGTTGACTTCAGCTCGGCATTTAACTCCATCAGTCCCAGATGACTGATTAACAAACTGCAGGCACTGCAACTCGGAACCTCCCTCTGTCTGTGGATCAAAGACTTCCTGACTAACAGACCCCAGCGTGTCAGGATGGACACCTCCACATCGTCCTCAATACTGGTGTCCCTCAGGGCTGTGTCCTGAGTCTAGTCTTGTTCGCGCTGTACACCCATGACTGCGTCGCCATCCATGGCTCGAAAACCCTCATCAAATTTGCAGATGATACAACCATTGTGGGACTGATCAGCAACAACGTCGAGGCTCCATACAGGGAAGAGGTCCAGGCGCTGGCGGCCTGGTGCAGTGACAACCACCTCAACCTCAACACCAGGAAGACAAAAGAAATCATCACTGATTTCCGGAAGTCGAGGACCACACTTAGCTCAGGCCTGAGCATAAATGGGGAAGAGGTGGAGCGTGTCGCGAACTTCAAGTTCCTCGGACTGCACATCTCAGAGGACCTGGGCTGGACTGTGAACACCACCCACATTATCAAAAAGGCCCAGCAGCGTCTCTTTTTTCTGAGAACGCTGAGGAGGAACAAGCTCCCTCCACCTCTGCTGAGGTGGATCATCAGCTCCCCACTCCCACGCCTAGATGAGATCTACTCGAGCCGTCTCCTCTGACAGGCCACAAAGATCCAGAATGACCCCGCCCACCCAGGACACTCTCTGTTCACCAGCCTCCCCTCTGGCAGGCTCAGAGTGATACGAGCCCGCACCAACAGACTAAAACACAGCTTTTTCCCTATGGCTGTGAAGAGACTGCTACAGGAACCATGAACACATGGACACATAAGATAACGGATTAAAGTTAAGTGTATCACTCCCAAGTTTTATATTTTATTTGTTTTCTGATTCACCATCTAGTTAAAAATCAGCTGTGTTTTTGTTGCTCAGAACAACAAAAGGACCACAGACAACTTTCTTTATTAGAAAGATTTTTCTTTCCATGATCTGTCATTTCCCCCCATTAACTTTTATTATGGAAACGATTAAAGTCAGAGAGAGTCAAAGTCAGAGTCAAAGACAGATTACAGGGCACCGGGGTCGTTTTACAAGCCACTTGGTCCCTGTATGACCAAAGTGAGAGCTGTGTCTGCATACTTGGCGTAAAGTCAAACACGTTCACACTGGATGTTGTCCCAGCGTTGACTCTTGTCACCGATTCTACTTGTGATATTCATGGACAGGCTCTCGAGATGCGGCCAAGGGAAGGAAGGGCTCCGGTTTGGGGATCTCAAAATTGTGTCTCTGCTTTTTGCAGATGATGTGGTTCTGTTGGCTTCATCACACTGACCTCCAGCAAGCAATGGGGCAGTTTGCAGCCGAATGTGAAGCAATCAGATGAGAGTCAGCACCTCCAAATCTGAGGCCATGGTTCTCTGCCAGAAAATGGAGGATTGGCCCCTCGGTGTTGGGGATGAATTATTGCCTCAAGTGAGGGAGTTCAAGTATCTCAGGGTCTTATTCACAAGTTAGGGTAGAATGGAGGGTGAGATGGATGGGTGGCTTGGTGTGGTGTCAGCACCGCACCCCAGACATCCGGAAGGAGCTCAGAGTAGACCCGCTGCCTCTTCATGTCTAAAGGGGCCAGTTGAGGTGGTTGGGCATCTGATTAAGATGGCCTTGGGTGCCTCCCGTCAGAGGTGTTCTGGGCACGTCCCACTGGTAGGAGGCCCCAGAGCAGACCCAGAACACGCTAGAGGGATTACATATCTCATCTGACCTGGGAACACCTTGGGGTCCCCCAGGAGGAGCTGGAAAGAGTAGCTGTGAAGAGGGATGTCGGGGGTGCTTTGCTTGGCCTGCTGCCCCCACAACCCAGCCCCAGATAAGTGCTTGAAAATGGATGGATGGATGGATGGATGGAGAGTCTGTCAGCAAGAAACACTTTTATATCATTGATCCTTATTTCTATTTAGTCACACATGAGGCTGATCATTCCCGAGCATTAGGTTTGATGAGTTACATCATTTTAACTTACCCTAAAACATTTACCATAATAAATCATTTCCTGTGTTCAAAAGACACCATAAACATATTCTCGGTAATGACATAATGAATTCACATTCCACATTCACATTTCTCTTAAAACATATTTCTTTGTTTCCTCTCTCCTCCCATGGCTTCCCTATGTCTCTCTATGCATTCCTGGGGGGAGGGACTAAAGTGCAACACACACCGCCGCTGTACGCCATGCGTCAAAACGCCCGCCTCCATTATATTCTGTGAACCAACCCACACTGGCGCCAGCCGACGCGCTGCGCCGCTCTGCTTCAGCCCACTGCTCTATTTCCAGCGCGGCCAGCGCTCATGGCGGCGCTGCGAGAAAAGCCTTTTATGTACATCTCGTCTCGTAGGATCAACTCCGGTTGTTTCAAATTTTTAATAAGACGACTTTGATGAGAAACTCACCCGTGAAATTCAAGTTGTTGTTGCCTCAAAGTTTTTCCTCTTCTTCTTCTGTTACTAGCAGTTAACCATTGGCAACTAGTGTAGGTACAGCTACCTAGCGGGCTGGGGTGGGAAATACACGTCGACGGTGCCGCTGCGCGCCGCTGCCAGTGTGTGTTGGGGGGCGGCACTTGACGGCCATAGCGCCGCGCCGGTGTGTGTTGCACTTAAGACGCAAGAAATAGACTCAAGTGAGGGAAACTTGGATGCAATAAAGCCTACCACAGACTGTGAGATTTTAGTAATCTTATAAGTTTAGTGCAGCTACACTGTGCAACTTGGATCTAATAAACTTGGGTAGGACATCAAGTTTGATGTATGCAGACTGTATGATGACAGCACCTACTGAATCGCAGGCTATGACGTACGATGCAATAGCTTCCCATACGTGCAAGGAGGCTGCACGGGTTATTACTTCTCCAACTGTGAAGCACAACACAGAGGGTCACATTATTAAACAACCTAAAGTTTTGTGGGTACTATATACTGCGGTGTGTCTGTGTTTGCTAACTGCTAGGTTGCTCACCTGGCAGCTGCAACTTCGCTACTGTTTCCTTTCATGCTTCGTCCTTCTTTACGCGATCATGGTAAGAACTGGAGGACACATCATACAGGCAAGGCTTCTGCTGCCACAACTCCACAAGGTTTTCCTCTTTGCTGTGCTCCACACATTTCTTTTAGCGTGTTTTGCCTCCATGACGAGCTGCTATCCATTTGTTTGTTTGGGTTTAGCGCCAGTGCGTCATTTCATGCTGCATTTCTATTGGTTGGTTTGTAGACGTAGGTCCTCACAGCAGTCACACTGTGAGATGGTCATCCTAAATTTCTGACACTGTCAGAATTTTATCCCAGGCTGTCTTTGATCACTAGACCATGACAAGGGCCATCCTTGAACCTCTCTCACTGTGCGACATAGGACCACTGTTTTAGAGCCACGACCGAAGATATTGCACACTTTCTTTAATGATGGTCATATTTCGTCTGGGACAGCCCAAAATTGCACAGTATATACCAGGCTTTCTCCACACAAACAGTTGTTTGGTTTTAAGGTGCTGCATGTAACTCTGGAAAAAGACAGTTAATTACTGAGTCTCATTCCTCATTATTGAACAAATTATTGCTTGTATATAATACAGAAGATATGAAACTTAAAAAAAATTGCATACTGAATCTCAATATTGGTCCAAAAAAAGGCAGTTAGATGATATTCTCCTATCCTTCAGGCCTACCCCGGACCATACCAGAGCCAGCGTGATTCTGCCTGTTCAGTTGTGGAACAATTCTGGTAAAAGTTAGAGCCGTGGAAAGGACAGCCAGTGAGAGAGCTTTGAGTGGACATGATTTAGATTACCCTGTGCAAAGACCAGTGGAGTTTCAGAAACTTTACAGAGGTTTGGATTGTGCTTCTGTTGTTCCACCAAATCTCTTTGTTAGAGAGAGAGGGCAACCATTTTAAGAAGCTGTATCCTATAAAGCAGATAAGTGTGGACTTCTTAATTCATTTAAGTCTCAAACAGCTGCATAACTGACTGAGTTAAACATTTATCTACAGGAACACAATGGATTCAGTCAGGGATTTAAACCCAACAATAATCAAGTTTTCCTCCAGTGATATATAAATATAATCAATCAATCAATCAAACTTTATTTATATAGCGCCTTTCATACATCAAAAATGCAACCCCAAAGCGCTAATATGTTTCGAAGACATGTTGGCATCAGCCTTCATATTAGAAAATACCCTGTTGTACTGTATTGATATCTGTACAGCCTTCGTCTCAATCCTTGCTTACCTGTTTAACTTTGCTCCTGACAACAGTGGAGATGGTACTGGACACGATTCGAGGTGAGAGGCCGCGGAAGAGCCCTCTTCTTCCATCCACTTTCACAATGTGCTGTGCTGAAAACAAATTAATGTCCTGTCAATTGCTGTTAACTTGTCTAGTGAAACAATATGACATTGGTAAATCACACCTCACTCACCATAGGAGAAGAAGCCAGGCAGGTATAAGACTCTTCGTCCGAACATGGTTGTTCCCACAGTTGGGGGAAGAGGTTCATGTCCCACCTGGAAACAACAGCGACAGAGATTAAACACAACCCCTCTGCTTCATGAGAATGATGATGACATTAGCCCCTTTTCCATCGCAAGAACTTTTATCAGTTACCCGGAATTCTGAAAAACCTCCATGCGTTTCCACCAAAATTATCCGGGTAAAAAAACTTTCCCTCACCCCCAAATTTACCCTGGAAAAAGTACGTAGTAGGGGGGTAGGACTTTTCAGATTACGCAGAATTCTTGAGGGGCGGGGCTGTTTGCTAAAGAACACTGATTGGTGGAACACACACTTGCAGCGTTCCGCACTTCCTGGTACGGGCAGCCGCTGAAAACTTGATGTCATTTCTACAGGCTTCACTTCGTTTGTGTTTTGATTAAGGATGGGTACCAAAACCCGGTACTAAATTAGCCTCGGAGCTAAATTATCAAAGACCATAGTATTGATAAGCGCTACTCGAGTTGACGGCAGCTACACTTGTTACTGTGACATTAAACCTTAGCGAGTTGGAAGCCAATACTTTACCAATACATGTGTTCAGCAAGCATGAACATATTAACACGTAGACAGCGATATTCAATATGCTCCGTCCACACTCTCTCATCCACCGTCACTAACGTTATGTCTTACACGAGGACAGCACGCTAGTTCAGCTGATAGTGAATTGTTACTAATAAGCTCAAATGACAGCTGTCTGTATGTAGACTAACTTAGTTTAACACTTATCTTAAAAGACTTAAGTCTTAAGAGACAAACAGCCCCTACTCTCTACACCAGCATGTAACCAGCCAAGCTGACGGAGCCAAATACAGGGCACACGCCGAATCATCTACGTCATCACGCTAATTTGAATAAATTATCCGGAACTTTGAGGTGCAGAGGAAATGCAAAACACACAGATTACCAGGAATTATTTTATCCAGGTAAACAAATTCCTGGTAATAAAAGTTCCTGGAAAATGGTATCCAGAGGGGATAATGCTTAAATGCCAGCTTGGTGCTTTAGTGATATAACCGTTCCCAGCTGTGGTCCATGTGGCACCTCTAACTTTCTCTGTGAATGATCATTTCAGATGTCACACCTGAATGGTTTTGTCAGATGATGCTGTGATCGTAAAGTCATGATTTTATCAGGACAGTGCAGCAGCTTAGGAATGAGTGCTGGTTGACATGCAGCATTAAGGAGTGAATGTATTTACATTCAGGAGTGCATTTTCTGAATTTATTTTCTGAATGCCTGTATTATTATGCAGTAAAGGTGATCTCAGACGGCAGGAGGGGACTGATCAGGAGTTGCCTCACCTCTTATCAGATGTTGGCAATTTTTGCCCACTAAAAAGAGGCAGAAGAAAAAGAGATTTATGATGGAATCGCAGCGCTTTGTTTTTGTCTTTCAAAATGGTCATTTTGTCAGATTAAATGATCATACAGTAATAAGTCTTGCTGTCACATGGCTGTGAGACATTGCAGACTACTACACAGTGGATACTGACCAATCACAGCTTGCTGTCTTTCACAAATTGTGTGTGATATACAGAGGGGATCGGTGAGGTGGCAGGGACCAACTCCAACTGACATCGCCAAGGGCACTCTCAAACCAGGATTGCCAAACATTTTTACCAATCAATTTTCAAAACTTTTCCATAATATTTTGCCCCATTTTCATGACATTATTCAAGTAGTTTAAAACAAGTGATCATTGGATGTGCAATGAATTTGTTTTTCCATTGGTTATAGTTGTTGCACAGAAGGGCTGGGGCGACCATCAACATCATCGACTACGTAAATACGTCGACACAAATTATTAGCGTCGGTTCAAACAAAAAAAATGGCAGCGTGCAGCGGCAGCAGCAGTGCTGTTCTATTGTGCTATGGCCTACTCAAGTGCTGGAATTTGTTATTTACGTGACAACTTACATCTTACTTTAAGTAATGTTAGACATGTTTTGGGATTTTCATGAACATATTTTAAACAACAGCCAAAACAATATATATTTAAATTTTCTGAAACATTTAATTAACTCCAAACCATTTCCAGGCTGCACTCATATGCAAGTCTTCCTTTCTGTCCATATTAAGAAATCCAAAATTAATCCAGACGCTTAATTTAAACCCCAGTGGTGCATTTCTGATTTCTTTCTCCATTGCCTCCATCTTTGTTTTGATGAACTTCCTGCCAAATGCTGCTGACTGAGAACTCTGCTGACCTCACCAGGAAAAAAAAAACACGCACACCATCTAGTGGACTGAAAAAGCAATTGATTTTATTATTGTAGTACAACAAGTTGTATTAAAATGTGTATTTACAAAAATGAATAATGTATATAATAAAAGATTGATACCTGGCGTCCTTGTATTGATACAATATCGCAACACAAAATACTGTGACACTGTGCTCTATCAACTTTTCCCCCCAGCCCTAGTCCATATATCTCAGGCACTGTTCCCCTGTAGGAATGTTCTGGATCAAAACTGGTTTAATTATGCAGCATCTTCTCCAACAGGACAAGGGCGCATCAAAGTTCTTCATGGCCTATTTGGAGTCAAAGACGTGGCTTTCCATCTAAAAAAAAATGGATTTCAACCCTTTGAACACATTTAAACGGGACAATACAAAGCCGTTAATACACACACTGAGATGTTTAAAATAATGCTGGAATGTGCATTCTCTGTTCCCACAGTTAACAGATTCAACAGCAGCCAGTGCAGGTCAGAGCAAACAGTGGACACATTTGAACTATTAGACAAACTTGAGAGAAGGTTTGATCACATAAATATCTCAGTGTCTTTGTTGTAGGGGTGAGTGTACAAAAATCTCTAAACGTTTAGAGTGGGTAATTTTTTTCGTGTAAACGTGTACACAGGTTTCACTGCTGGGTGGTGCTATTGCATTATACCAGTAAAGCCCCAGTTATCAGAATACCAACCGAACGGACCATTTCACCAACGCGCCGTTTTAATAGAACGGAGCACGTAGGCTACTGACCTGCTGCCAAACCCGGTCTCACACCACTTCTTGTAATATTCATAGTTGTTACCGGCCAGTCCTTCGCTTTAAGACGGTGGCCATGTGGGTGTGACGTAGTAGATGTTGTGGGAAGTAAAGCGGCGTATAGAGTGTACGGACGGGAATGCACCGTGAAAATAGTACTGTTCATGCTACGGGTGGTTGCAGTCTGTTTACAGTCTGTTTACAGTGTTTAGATAGGCTCCAGTTACAGCATAGTCTCTGTGAGAAGGCCCTGCATTTTGTTATGTTATGTTTTCCTGCTGTAAAGGAGAAATAAATGTGCTTCTACACGGACGTCAGTTCTGCATCTTCATTCTTCAAGCAGAGTTGGTCTATCACAGTTAGTCAACAATTAGTATCATCCCCCTCCCGCCTAAAAAAAATACATTTTTCGTGTACTAATTTTTCATAACTGTTTATGATCTCAAACACGTGTACACGTGTAAACGTGTATGCAGACTCACCTCTACTTTGTTGACAACCTGGAACTGACCTGGATCACACACGTTGAAAGTCTCTGTAGTAGATAACAATGGCTGCATACCACAAGATGGCGGCACGCACAGACGCAGCGGCTCGTAGCTCCTCTCTTTTCCAGTGTTTTTGTACATGTTGTTTTTTATTATTAATGCAGTTTGTCATGCAAATCCTGTCTACAGTCGCCCGGATCTCCTAAACACTGGATTATGGAGTGAGCAATCTGTAAACAATGACTTTATCCAATTGCACAGCATACTGCAGGATATAGCCAGAACACCGGGCTCTCCGTGGATCATCATCCCTGCGGGCAGGAGGAGGAAGCAGCGGAAGGAGAGGAAACAAAAACGCAGCTGCCAGGCTGGCATCTTTGCGTGGCTGAGAAAACAGCCACACAAACTACCACTTCCCAGCATCTTCCTCTCAAATGCCAGATCCATCGCAAATAAAATGGATGAGCTGAAGCTACAGATTGCAGCAAACAGGCTCGTCCAGGACTGTTGTATTCTGCTGATAACGGAGACCTGGCTGAGTTAGCAGACCGCACAGCCCACCGCCATGACAGAGACAGTAACTCCAGTAAGAGCAAGGGAGGGGGGTTATGCATTTACGTGAATAACAACTGGTGCACAAACGCTACGACCATCGATAGCCACTGCTCTCCAGACCTGGAGTATATTACTGTCAAATGCAGACCCACGTATTTTCCACGAGAGTTCACTGTTGTCATGGTGACTGCTGTGTACATTCCACAGCTCTCAGCCACTTGTACAATGCCATCAGCCTTCAACAGAACACCTATCCAGAGGCAGATCACGTCACAGCAGGCGACTTTAACCACCTACATTTTTTTGTTAACGGTAGCTTATTATATGATACTGGTGGCCTACAGTACATAATGACATAGTACATAATGACATAGCCACTGAATGACCGGTTATTTAAGCTACTTTGTTTAATAAATGGGTATGATAGTTTATAGAGGATTCAAATTTCAAATAAGTCATCAACCATCTATATGTGCTGAAAATAGCTGCTGAAATTAGCAAGGATTCTTTTTTAATATTTTTTGGAGAGAGAGAGACAAAGGGAGTGACACGCAGCAAGGTGCCACAGGCCGGAGTCGAATCCAGGCCGCTGTGGCAAAAGCCATATATATGGGACGCCTGCTCTATCCACTAAGCCACCAACATCCCGTCAAAGAGAATTCTGCTTGCTAAATTTCACATGCCGCCTCTCTCTCCTTGGCAGCTTTAGCGGTGTTACTTTTTTCACGAAATACATGTTCATATTCGCTGTAGGGCTTTCATGAGCGCCTCCAATTCCACAGGTGTAAAATAAGTTGATCGCTTTTTCTCTCCGGTTGCCATGGTGAATTGAGGTATCGGGGCTCCACTGATGATGGCTTTTTATTGTTGTTGTTGTGAACGCGCTTAACTCAAGGTGTACCTGCTCAGAGTTGATTGAACTAATTCAAATCAGCTGTTCTGGAACCGGATACTCAAGAGTTTCCCATCTCAGGGTA